TCTGAGATCTCGTCGTTTATACGGGCGGGCGGACAGACGGATAGGGCTATATCGACTCAGCTCGTAGTCCTGATCAAAAATATATATACTTTATGGGGTCTGCGATGATTCCTTCTGCCTGTTACATACTTTTCACAAAACCAATATACCTTCATTTCCTATTTTCAATGGGTTCCGGGTATAACAAGGTTCGCGCGCTACAAAAAACGTAAATCGCTTTTTAAATAAACAGTTCAACCTTAATTTATGCGAAACCCTAAGTGACAATTTATTACAAATAATTTCAAATTATTATTATTAATGTTTTTTATTTGATTCAAAAATATTGAGTAGTTTATTTTTGTTTTCAGTTTTAATCAGGATTAAACGTGACGTGTCGAATGCGACATTTTTTTCATTTAAATATTGTGTTACTTTTTATGTAATTTTACATGAATAAAAGCCTTAGAAATGATTTTCAATATATTCAATTTATTAATTATAATAAAATAGAGAATAATATTTCATTGCATAGTGTCTCAATAATAAGAACAAAATGTGCAATAGAAAGGCTCAAAACAGAACTTTTGCACTTGTTCGCTTTTGTGTGTAAATATTTCGAGATTATGATAAAATGTAAAATTGGTTTATATTAGATAAATTTGATCGATACGTTATAAAAAAATATGCTATATACGGTCTATATCAGTCTGTCCATCGCGTTATGTTAAGTAATTAGGTTTAAATGCATCAGCTGCCGTGATCCTTGTTACGAGAAGGGTCTTTAAGCGAATACATATGCATATAAGTACACTTTCATACAAACATTCATATGCGTATATATGTACATGTGTACACATGCATGCGTAGAACGTAACAAACTGCTATTTCCATATGTGTGTGTGTGTGTGTGTGTGTGTGTGTGTGTGTGTGTGTGGTGTGTTTGTGTATAGCTCGTATTTGTAAAAACGGGTTGACATGCGTATAAAATGTTCACTGCTGCTATCCCGCTCTTGCACAGTTGCGTCTGATTGGCTGTAACTCATAGCCAATGGCAGCGTCTGGCATTGCAATGGTGTATTTCGGGGTAGGAAATGGCGTTACATGCTACTCCACTTACGCAAATGACAAGCATACATATACAGACAAGTACACACACATGCGCACACGCACTCATCGGAATTACCTTTTACATGGATTTCTAATGTAAGCGAAATATGTCCCTTTTTGCTATTTTGCCTTTAATTGCAGGTTTCATCTATTAATCGGGTGCTGCGTAATTTGGCCTCGCAGAAGGAGCAGCAGGCGCAGCAACAGAACGAATCTGTCTATGAAAAGCTAAGAATGTTCAATGGACAATCGGGTGGCTGGGCATGGTATCCGGGAAATACAACGACGGCGCATTTAACATTGCCACCAACGCCTACAGCAGTACCAACGAATCTCTCAGGTCAGATAACCAGAGATGAGATTCAAAAGCGAGGTAAACTACATTGTAAATTGTACACAAATTAAGAAAAACACATATAATGAATAGAGGAGCTCAATAAATTTTTCGTTAAATTTTAAATTTTGATCGGTAAGTCTGAATGATACACAGTGGGCAGTCATTTTTGGATCTAAGTAAGGCAGTCGAATATTTTTAAAATATCGTATCGAGTATATTTTAAGTATTGAAAAATATCAATATGATATTTAATATGCAACTTTAAAAAATCGAAATACTATATCAATATTTTTCGATTTTTTTTTAAAACAGTTATCCCACAATAAATATTAATATATAATCTGTCCCAAAAAACAAGAAAATTGGAATTAGTATTATTTGTTCAAATGATAAAGACCGCTTAACCCCAGTATTCGAGCAGCTAATATTTTAATAATTCTTTGCGTCATTCTGCTTACACGGACAGACGGACGGATGGACAGGCCCAAATCGACTCAGCTCGTCGCCCTGATCAAGAATATATGTACTTTATGGAGTCTGCCACGCCTCCTTTTGCCTGTTACATACTTTTAACAAAACTATTATACCCTGATTTCCCATTTTCAATGGGATTTTAAATCGGTCACGAAGAATAATGCAGGTATTTCCGTGGAAACCCTTACAAGCTTATAAAATGCACCTCTATGAGCAATTTACTACCAAATTAGCCATAAACAACCAAAAAGGCCAGATCGGGACGATCATTTAAAAAAAAAACCTAGAGAAGACCGCATCATATTGACAAATCTTAAAGAAAATGTGCGGATTTACCTAAAAGTCATGTCGATTAAAGTAAAAAATAATCATAAATTATCAATAAGTAGAAAAACTATCACAAGTCGGCGAAAGAGGACCAATTTTTTTTTACGTTATGGATCTTCTAATACCCTTAGTATTACTATAAAATAAACCAAAAAGGGAACGATTTTTATATTTTTTATTTTTATTTTTTTATATTTTTGTTACAATCACCATTGTCCAGCCAAAGAATGGCAATCTGCCATGCAAATAATTATAGAAAAAGAATGAATTCTGTTATTTTTCTGTTATTTTGGGCACTTACAGCTTTTAATATTTGCTCTCTCTTAAAAATATAATTGGTACCGTTACCTATCCCAATCATGCAGAAATAAGCGGTTGAAATTTTTGCAATGTGTTGTCAGAATACTCTTGTCCTCCATTGTATACTTTATGGGGTCTGCGATGATTCCTTCTGCCTGTTACATACTTTTCACAAAACCAATATACCTTCATTTCCTATTTTCAATGGGTTCCGGGTATAACAAGGCTCGCGCGCTACAAAAAACGTAAATCGCTTTTTAAATAACAGTTCAACCTTAATTTTTGCGAAACCCTAAGTGACAATTCATTACAAATAATTTCAAATTATTATTATTAATGTTTTTTATTTGATTCAAAAATATTGAGTAGTTTATTTTTGTTTTCAGTTTTAATCAGGATTAAACGTGACGTGTCGAATGCGACATTTTTTTCATTTAAATATTGTGTTACTTTTTATGAAATTTTACATGAATAAAAGCCTTAGAAATGATTTTCAATATATTCAATTTATTAATTATAATAAAATAGAGAATAATATTTCATTGCATAGTGTCTCAATAATAAGAATGTGCAATAGAAAGGTTCAAAACATACTTCAAACAAAACCATTATACCCTGATTTCAATGGGTTCAGGGTATAAACAAAAATATGCTGGCAGAACATACTTTCATTGACTTTGAATTTTTTGACTGTGCACTATGGGCGATTTTCCATGATAGGTGGCATAAAGTCCAAAAATTGATGGTGAAATATTAAGAAAATTTTTTTATTCCTGAGTTGTTAACACTCCAATTAGATGGAAAAAATTTTTTGTTTGTACTCCTTAAAGTCAGCTAATCTGTTGAAGCCTTTAGGTATAAGAATTGGCACGAAAAATTTTCTGCTGTTGTAAGTGCTCAAATTATTATTTTTAGTTTTCATTTAAATTTAAAAAATCAAAATTGAAAAATAAGCTCAAGGTATTTGTAATCTGTAACTAAAATTATATGTGCATAAATGTTTGTGTGTTTTTATTGCCCAGCGTTATTGCTAATTGTATTTTAACAATTTTAATTGTGTTCCCTGGAGTATTACTTATAAAGTGCGTATCAAAACATGCAACTAAGAAATATATCTAGCTTGTGGTATTAAAATCCCTTTTTGCTCGTTCACTTAATGTTTTATCTGCGTTCACCAACTACACGCTCCTTGATATTTGGAACAACAACAACACCAACCGAAAAATCTTTACTATATATTAATAGCTTATAGTATGAGCTCTCTGTCAATCCAGAAAAGTGTCAAAGTTTTTGCAAAGACTTTTTTTCCCTATATATGAAGATATTTAAAAAAAAAAAAAAAAATTTGCGTTACCGACTGCGGAATACTCATTCACATCCCAATTTCAAGTCTCTCGCTTCAATAGCGCCGAAACACACTGCGTTCATACGGACAGACGGACGGACAGACATAGACATAGACAAACAAGCGGAGAGGGTCAAATCGACTCAGCTCGTCACCCTGATCAAGAATATATATACTTTGTGGGATCTGTCACGCCTCCTCCCTGTTACATACATTTCAACAAAACCATTATACCCTGATTTCCCATTGAAAATGGGTTCAGGGTATAAAAAAAAAAATACGAAATTATGTTCAATGGGATACAACTACGTGTAAAGATTCGTGACAGCTTTGTCCAGCGAGTGGTACCCTGGTTACACAATGTTGTCGGTAACACATTTTTAGAAGAACATTGATAGAACGAATTCAATCACTGTATTCTCAATATTCTGTTGACTTGTATTAATTAATTATATTAAACATCCAATTATATACGAAACAATTGTTACATATTTGTATATAATACAGGACAGAAAAAAAGCGAAACATTTACGTCTGAAGAGTGTCTATTCGTCTTTTTCGGAATACAGATATCTCTTAAGCCACAAAAGCTGCCGAATTGAATTTTTAGATCTAGACTCATTTCATTTATAGCACCCGGATAGAATTTGCACGAGAATTCTCGTCAAACATCGACGAATCATTACGCTAGAGCTCGGGAGTCCGAGTTACTTGAAATGACGTATGGGCAATTGGAAATCATCGAGATGGGAAGTGAAGAGAAAGCCACCCCTAAGACATTCGGAATTCGGCATTTGGTAGATTGAAAACATTTTGTCACAGATGATCAAACACAACGGGGCAAACAAAAATAGTTAATTTGTTGGTCATTTGTTATTTGCCATTAAATCTAATTGAGGAGCGTAATTCATTCCATGAAGGATTTGTTGTTCGTTTTCAATTGTTTTTGTTTATTCTCCGATCAATAAATAAGGCTGACATATGTCCCTTTACCCAGCAACAGCCCAACCCATCCCATCGCATCTCTCTATCGCACATTTGTGAAAGGGAAACTACGTATGCCATAAGTAGAGGTCTTTATTGTGTTTTGTTGGTAATTGACAAATGTGCTGCAAAGATAAGCAAAAGCAATCAACGAAATGATTTTGCGAATGCCACAGGATCTGCATCTCTACCCATTCAGAATGGAAACTCTGGGTACATAGGATTCTCAACAATCTCTATGCCATCTCTAAGCCGTCCGTTTTGGAGCCTAAGTTTGGCCCGAAGGTCATTTGATATGACCTGTAAGGACATTTGGTCTGTAAGAGGTGCAACGGAAATACGTACTTGATTATCGTCATAGATTTCGATCGTCATGGGTTTACGAGCCAATATGCCACTAATTATTGATTGCTTCCTCGTGCATTTCAGAGCTATATCCAGGCGATCTGTCCCACCCGAACTCACATGAGAGCACATCGGACGGCAACTCCGATCACAATTCATCCGGCGATGAGGATTCCCAAATGCGCCTGCGACTGAAGCGCAAATTGCAGCGCAATCGAACTTCCTTCACCAACGAACAAATCGACAGCTTGGAGAAAGGTAAGGCATTCCATATACCCATACACGTACGTCGACTTATATATACAAAAAATAATGCCCCCAATAGAATTTGAACGGACGCATTATCCGGATGTATTCGCGCGGGAGAGGCTTGCGGAAAAAATTGGTTTGCCAGAGGCACGTATTCAGGTTTGTCTTTCCGTTTTGTTTAATTCTTTTCATTTAAGCTGTGTTTCGAATGAGTTTTTACTTCAAGTCTCTTCAGTTCTTTCTTCTGTTCGTTTTATTCATATTTTCATAAATTCGATATTAAAGTGTTTCGCTTATTTATTTCGCCTATTTATTTCGCTCACTTATTCTTACATTTAATCTATCCTCAAATGTCCATCTCCTCGTCCCCGTCCCCGTCCCCGTCCCCGTTCCGTCGCAAAAGCTTACAGCAGGATAATTCGAAAGTCTCGAAATCTCGAGGAACAACATTGAGAAGGGTGTTACAAATAGATTGAATTTATCGGTCCTTTATTTTGGTTGAGTTTTAGGTAAACGATTGTTCGAAATGATTGCCCATGGATTTTCGCCACGAGCGACGAAGGACGAGCCACCAGAGCGAACGAAAGCGAACCCTAAACTCGATTCACTCGACTCACTCGATGCACCCCTCTAATTATTTGTTATTAATGTTTTTTTTTTTATATGTTCGCCTCTCGCGACATTATTATTATTTGTGTAACTTAATAAAAACAATTTGACTGTGAAAGCACTCGAAACTACTTGTGATTCTGTAAGCAAACTGCTCTCAAGTGCTTTTCCGAGCAGCACAAAATCTGATGGGTGAGCCGCAACTCGCGCGAAAAATAATAAATGTCACGGCTAAAAATGTGAAGGCGAATATCAAAAAATATATTTATATGGCCCAGCCCAGGCACAGCTACAATTACAGTCGCAGTCTCAGTCAGATCCAGATCCAGATCCAGTGCCAGTGCCAGAGTCGGAGTCAGAGTCAGTTCAGAGTTAGAGTCAGAGTCACCCCTTTTGTCGCCCAGCTCAGCCCGAGGGGTCTCGGCCGACGCACTCGAGTGATGCGATAAGGCTTAAACTTCATTACACGTCAAAATTGGGTATGTTTGTATGTTATTGTACAGATACACCCTTGCGAATGCGTAGAGAACGAGAGAGGATATTACGGTTCTGGTATCGATTGTGTAACACACTGAAGCCGACTGAAACTAGGCTGAGCCTTGCTACAACTCCGCTTCATGGCTAGGCATATATCGCTATATACGTTTGCTGAGGGAGAAGAAGATCGCCCTCACTGAGCGAGATAGCTATATGCCACAGATAGCGCCTAAATGTATGTAGAGTTAAGGGACTGATTGGATTCCGATTGCTCTATCGAATCAGTACAAATAACTGTACATATTAATATGAAAGGGTATTCGATCATCGGTGCCAGCTGCTGTCTGCTGTCTGCTGTCTGCTGTCTGCCTTCTGTATGCTGTATGTTTTTATGATTGCACTAGGTAAATCGGCATGAAGCGAATTGCATTTTCAAGCATTTATAAATGTCAAACGCAATTTCATTATGTGAAAATTCAGAAGTCGAAACAAGTGCTGGCATAAAGCTTCCATGACCAAGTACTTTACACTCTATTGTGTTCCCCTCCACTGCGATAATAATTCAGCGATTCGATCTGTGCATACCCTAGCGAAGGGTTATATCCCCTTATTCACGGGCGATTGCAACAAAGATGAAGTTTCTGCTCTTCAGCTGACTAGCTGCGAAAATATTCTGATACTCGCTCAGGAAATAATGAGAGCATATCCGTCCCTCCATCATCAGGCTTACACTCCGAACGTATACACGGAATAAGAGAAACGCTCACAGCACACGAGCATACTCCCTCCCCCTCGTATTTCCATCCTCCATCTTTCTCCTTGCTCCTCCTTCATTCCTGTTCAGATTTACTGACAACTGCAAATCAGGGTTTGCCCCATGAGCAAGTATTACGCAGTCGGTGGCACTCGACGGCAGCAGGCTTATTTGTTTCAATTTGATTGGAAAACGGCCAAAGCTAGAGCCACGTACAATATATCTGAGCATACCTCGAGCGGACTTGTAGTACTTACATATATCTAATTCAAATCCAATCTTATCAGATGGACTTGCCAACCAGGTTTTTGTATGCTCGTTGGGGCGTGGCAATTCGGATTGTATATCGTAGCTTTCTCATAGTTTTTACTTTTCATTTTATTTGTGGTGCTCGCTGTCTTTCAAGCCTTGCTCACTTTTCCCTTTCCCACTTCCCACTTCCCACTACGCCCCTGCAACTTTATTCAATAATAATTTTAAAAACTTATATTTTTCGCGTAATTTAGGTTTGGTTCTCGAATCGGCGCGCCAAGTGGCGACGTGAAGAGAAGCTGCGCACCCAAAGGCGCTCGGTGGATAATGTGGGTGGCGGAGCTGTTAACAGCAGTCGCGCAAGCTCCAATAACCTCACCACTGGCAGCTCGGCGCCTCCCAATGGCGCTGCGGCAAGCAGTTCGACGCCCAGCCTTGGCAGCTCGGCCGTATCGGACGCAGCAACAGTGGCCGCTGCACATGCAACAGGCAACAGCAGCAACAACAACAACAACAACAACAACAATAACAACAACAGCAGCAGTCTAGCCGAAGCTTCCAGTGGGCCAACAGTAAATATGAAATATAAGCTCACACACTATCCGATCGCGTCACTGAGGAATCCTTTCAGTAGCTTTGCTTGCCATTTACAACTCAGGGTCCAGATTCGTCACTCCACTCCACTCCATTCGCCTGCTCAACGAGTGGGGGGAGAGGAGCAAAAGATCCATGTTCGACCTTTCATTGCATGCTATTGCTACGAATCTCACATTTGCGAGTGCTGGGCTGGCCGCGAGTGGAAGCTCGCCTGATGAAAGGATGGTGACTGCCGCGGCTATATAGCCTTTCTATTCGTTGCCCCATCTGCATGCTAAACTCTTGGCAAGCAAGCTAGTTGATCCCTCGCCCATCTTAGTCGGGTCCGCTAGGGTTGCCGAAAATTTAAAAAATATCGTATCGATGATATTTTAAGTTCTGAAAAATATCAATATGATATTTGATATGCAACTTTAAAAAAATATTGATATATTGATATATTTTCAACAACCCTAGCAGTCCTTATCCCGCGCACTCCCGACTAGAGCGCTAGAACACCTCGTTCCTCGTTCCTTGTTCCACGTTCTCGTCTTTGGCCTAATCGCCCAAACTGACCTTAAAAATTACATTCTCATTTACAGATTCACGGCGGCGAGGCCAGCAGCAATGCCCATAACAACTCCGACAGCCCACCTTTACAAGCTGTAGCACCTCGTCTACCCTTAAACACCGGTTTCAACACAATGTACTCATCCATCCCGCAACCGATCGCAACTATGGCTGAGAACTACAAGTAATTCTAGCATTCCATTAAGAGCTCTACTACGCGTGCCCAGTGGAAGCCAGGGAGCCAGGGCAACTCAAGCACACTCACCTTCGGTGTATGCGCCTCCTTTGCTCTCCTTTCATGCTTTCATCTGGGTATTATGATTAAGCTTGATGGATCCTGTGTGTGGGTGTGTGTGTGTGTGCATCGTTGGCAAGTGTGTGTCACAGAGACGTGAACTCTAGCATGGCCAAGGGGCAGGCACTCCCTACTACGTATATCCCACCACGTTCATATTGTAGACAGGCATATACATGCATATTTATATATATTTTGTTGAATTTGAAATCTGAAATGTGTTTCTTGCTTTCCGCACCTCTCACAGCTCGATGACATCGTCGTTAGGTTCGATGACGCCCACATGTTTGCAGCAAAGGGACAGCTACCCATATATGTTTCACGATCCACTATCCCTGGGATCTCCCTACGCGGCCCATCCTCGGAACACCGCCTGTAATCCAGCGGCCGCCCATCAGCAGCCGCCACAGCATGGAGTTTATGGCAACGGCTCGGCTGTTGGCTCAACCAATACAGGTATTATTAAATGTCTATATGTCTATCTATTCAATGGGGCTTCAAAAGAACTGCAATAAAAGAAAACGAGGGGATCCGAAAGCCATTCGATTCGCAGCAGAGGGCTTTGTCGTAAGCCCGACTTCGATGAATGTGAACGAATCAGATCGAATGCTGACACTCGTTGGTCCGCATCTCAATCGATATTTATTTATATATTTGGTACACTTAGATGTCTATAAAAGTGGTTGATATAGCGCTGCTTCAGCTATGCTCCCAGCCCACTTACCAATCGAACTCACTCTTCTTGCAGGTGTAATATCCGCTGGCGTTTCGGTTCCTGTACAAATATCGACGCAGAATGTCTCCGACTTGGCAGGCGGTACTTACTGGCCGCGGCTTCAGTGATCTTCAATATTTAATTTGCCGAACGAACTGCTGTCGAAGGCCGCAGCAGCGGCCGCTGTCGCCGTCGCACACGCTGTCGAGGAAACAGTTGGTAATGCCAACAGCAACGGCAGCAAATCGTCAATGGATAACCCACCAATGCTATTGCCACAAATAGTACCAACATCATCACCATTATCATCAGCATCAGAATCATCGTCAGCATCAGCATCAGCAGCAGCAGCAGCACCATCAGCAGCAGTAGCTGCAGCAGCAGCAGCAGCAGCAGCGGCAGCAGCAGCAGCAGCTGTATCAACATCGCCATCATCATTATATTTCAACTTGCCTGAAACAGCGGCAATCAGTCAAAATTTCACAGCACCGTCCGTAATATCCCCTGTCTCTTCCGGTTCAGCCACAACCTTCATTCACTCCACCCATTCAAGTAGTTCCCCCATCTTTCAACATGCTTTCCATCAGACGTCAACGTATAGTCATCCTCTCTTATAAGCGCCCAACCTAGGAAACCTAAATCCGGATCTGAATCTGCATAATGATAAACAATAATGCGAATCATTAAGTAAGAAATAAATATACATAATTTTGTTACATATTAATATTATTGAATGCTGGATAAACGTTCATATCATTGAAAACAGATCATTATCTGTTCGATAATGCAGAAGCATGTGAACCAAAAACAAATTCAATAAGGAAGGTATCAAATAAGGTCTTAAATTATATTTAATTCTATTATAAAATTATAAAATTATATATATATATATATGTATATACATATATATAGTCGAAATGGAAATGTAAATACCATACAAATTAATCTAGTTAATAGTTTAAATGCACACCAAATTTGTATAATTTGTTATTTATTTTTTATTTCAAGAATCTCATTTAGCACTTCGATCAAGAGTTCAATCAAGATTTGAGCATGTTCTTGATTGCAGATACTTTGCATATACATATTTAACAAAGCTTTAGGATTAATCTGAACAATTTATTTTAAATAGTAACGTGAAACCTTTCAAGGAATGAACAAAGTTATAAGACATTTAAAGCATTCAATTAAATATATATTGCCCAATATATTTTTTTTTATTTTAAAGGCTTTAAATTTAAAGTATTTCTTTTGAATAATTCCAAATTTAAGCCTTTAAAAACTTGCTAATTTAAATTTTAATAAAACTTAAGCCTTTTGGCCTTTTAACTGATCCTAAGAATCGATCATCTTCTCGGAAATCAGAAGCGGAAATCTTGATTCTCGAATGAAATCGGGCAATGGAAGGGCACGTGAATGCCGGCTAGCCATATCTGTATGAGTGCAGGAAAATCATGTCCTTTAACAAAAGCCTAGTTTCCGAATTCTTCTATAAAAAGAGAAAAAAAGAAAACTAATAATAATAATAATAATAATATATATATATATATATATATATATATATAGAATGTATTTTGTTTTGTAAACAATAAAAAAGTCTTTGCTTTTAAGACCATAAAAATAAATGAAATGAAATCGAAAATAATTGCAACGAAACTTAAAAATCCGATTCAAATAATTAATAAACAATGCCAACGCCCCATGTACTCTCATTCAGTATAAATACCTAGAGAATAGGACGTATGTTAATTAAAAATAATTATTATGATATTTATGCATATATGTATATGTATTTAATCTATGGTTCGAATTTATATTCAGAAACAGTCGATGTAACAATTTTAGTTTTAGTCACTTCATTTAAAAAAGAAGAACAAATAAATTAATATATATATATATATATATATACATATGTATATAAACATTTTAAATTATTCCCAATCGCGAATCGATTTGAATGAAACAGACCCATGCACCCTTGCTGTACCTCGAATATGCATTTTTCGATATGAAATTTGGAATGTTGATTCGTCTTGACCACCCAATAGAGCTGAGAAATTTTAACAAAAACTGAATTTTTACAAAATGCATATAAGTATACATTTAAAATTTGAAGACTAGCTTTAAAGATGTAGGAGATATTTATTTTTAATACTGATTTTCGATTTTAATACCGATTATCGATCGGGATCAGCTATCGATTTTTTGTGATAATCTCGATATCCGCGCTATATATAAAGACATTTTTAAAAAAATGTGAAGTCTCTAGCTCTTGTAACTTCTTAGATTGACGCACTCATACGGACAGACGGACGGATGGACAGGCCCAAATCGACTCAGCTCGTCGCCCTGATCAAGAATATATACACTTTATGGGGTCTGCCACGCCTCCTTCTGCCTGTTACATACATTTCAACAAAACCATTATACCCTTATTTCCCATTTCAATGGGTTCAGAATATAAAAAAAAACATGACATCTATATTTAGGAGAAATCAAAATAACTTCATTTTGATGTCAACAAGAATCACTTATTGTGTAAGAAAAAAATAAACAATAACTTCATTTTGATAACTTAACCTAGTGGATACTGACAAAATATGTCAAAAATAAGTCTATTGATTAATAAGCCATTGGTTTTTGTTCATAAATACCAAAGTGTTGACTATAGTTGACTTTAACTCGACCTTCGGTTCGAAGCAATCGCTCCAGTTTTTCTATATGTTCTCTCTGATTCGGCAGAGCTTGCTGGTATACATAAATATTATTTTAACATTACTAAGGGCCCTCAATTATTTCCGTGTGAAATGGTTGCACGAAACTGTAAGAACTTTTTTATTGATATTGTGTATTGTGTATGTACCTAACTTTTTTAATCTGTTGAAAGCTAAACAAATACAATTAATAATAACAAAAAGGTTGCTATTTATTGTTATTGTACCTTACACGCCACCACGCTCACAACAACTTCGATAGATCGAAATCGAAAAATGTCCATCGATCTATTGAACTTCACGAGCTCCATCGATACTATCGATGGATTTCCCAGCTATACCACCCAAGACCCCCATAGGAGGCGTGACAAACTGCTAAAGTTTATATCTCCTACAGTTTAAGAGCTAGAAGATTCAATTAAGTTACTGGTAATCTCCTCTATCGATGACCGAAAAATAACTGTTTCGCCTCTTTAGGGGTGTAACCTGTAATTTTTATTATTATTTGAGCGTAAGTATCCAAATTTTGCGGTTACATTAACTTTAGCCCATTCTGAAAACTGGTCAAAAATTAGGTGCTCCGACCACTAGGGCGTGGCAATTGGCATTTGTAGTGTCAAATTGCGACATTTATATGCGTGTGACATCTACATGAATAAGCTTAATAGGCATTGTTAGCACGGAAGGAAATAATTAAAAGCAATTAAAAGTTTTCTGCGGTGTTCGAGCCATGACAATCTACGCCCACAAGAGGCGTGGCGAATCGTCCTTTGTAACTCCTAAGTTAGGAGGTGGGCACGGGCCGGGTTTTTATCGGGTACCCGTGGGCACCCGCGGTTACCCGTGGGTATGGGCTGAAAAATCGAGTTTTGGGTTGGGTGCGCGCGGAAGCGGGTTACGCCGTTCAACCCGTTTTACCCGAAAAAATTATATTTTGGAGACCGTCAAAAGCATGATGGTTGAAATTTATGATATGCAAAATGATTCAATTGAGGACGCGAGAATTAAAAACTCTCCGACAAATTTGAATCTTGAATTTCTAGAGTTTTTGGACAAAAATCAACCAAAAAAAGAAAGCTTGACGAACCTGAAATTGATTAATATAAATATTATGCCACACGCTATAATTCAAACTTGTCAATTTTAGATTTTTGGCAGGAGGCAACGGACCTTAAATTGTGGCATAAAATATTTTATGTATTCCGGTAAGCTGTGCAACAAGCGAGTGACTATTCTCCTCTTCTGGACAAATTTTAAATGAAAGGCGAACAAGGCTATTAAGTGCAAATCTTGATATGCTCCTTTTTATACCCTGAACCCATTGAAACTGGGAAATCAGTGTATAATGGTTTTGTGAAAAGTATGTAACGAGCTGAGTTCGATATAGCCCTGTCCGTCTGTCCGTCCGTCCGTATGAGCAAAAGGATCTCTGAAGATATAAGAGCTAGAGAGCTGAAATTTGGCATGCATACTCGTGTATCCCATAGGACAGACGGACAGGGCTATATCGAACTCAGCTCGTCACGCTGATCAAGAATATATACACTTTATGGGGTCTGCCACGCCTCCTTCTGCCTGTTACATACATTTAACAGAACCATTATACCCTGATTTCCCATTGAAAATGGGTTCAGGGTATACAAAGTAAGAAGTATATACCATAAAGTATATATATTCTTGATCAGGGCGACGAGCTGAGCCGATTTAGCTCTGTCCGTCTGTCCGTCCGTCCGTCTGTCCGTATGTTTGAACGCGTCGATCTCAGAAGATATAAGAGCTAGGGAGCTGAAATTTGGCATGCATACTCGTATTTCTTCGATAACTTATTTTTTCAGCCTAATTTGAACAGTTTTAGTCGAGCAGTCTCGACTAGAGCCTTCTTACGTGTTATAAATATATTTGGTAAATCTGATGCACATTAAATTTGCTCTGGGAAAACTATTGACTATCGGGCTATGCAGTCATCCCAACTGCATACTATTCCAAGTATATTCCACTTCACTCTTCCCCTCAAAATCGGATAGATCCATCATAATGCGATCACCTGTACAAAGGGATACCCACCTATGCAGTCCCAATAATTTAAATTCAAAGTAATTCACAAATTGTATTCGTATTTATTCGGAAATAATTTACACGTACATACATACATACACACACATAGATGCCAATACAATAAAACATTATTCAGATAGATGTCATATACATGTATAGATATATATATGTATAGTTTGGGGACCGAACAGTCAGTCGACTTATGATTTTTATAGTTTATTTATATGCTGAACTACAAAGAAATATATGTAAGTATAAAGCAGTTGGAACATACACATAAAAGTTGCATTCTTAGTTTTCAATTTCCTTAACTATTTAATTTAAAAATCTGCTGAATATTTCGTTTGGTTTTTCTTTCGATAACTAACAGATATGTTAATAATATTGGAAGCTTTATTATGACGCAGTTATTTATTGTTTTCTTTGTGATTAATTAGACACAAATGTACATCGCTTTATGAACTAGTATAGTTGATATCATATAATTTTTACGCACAACCACAATAATTTTTGGTTAAAGCCTTTTTGGCCAT